TCTCTCTCTCTCTCTCTCTCTCTCTCTCTCTCTCTCTCTCTCTCTCTCTCTCTCTCTCTCCCTCTCTCTTTGTGGTGGAGGTGGTGTACTGGTGTTCCCTGAAGCTCTCCGGTTCAGCTATGGAAATTTCTGCAGGTCTCGGTCTGGGCGTGCATGTTACGGTCAGTAGGCTGAGGACGGCTCGCAGCTCATAGTGTTTGGTTACGGTTCTTTCCATTAAAATCTCTGTCCGGTGTTTTTTTTTCATACTTTGTTGGGGGTTCTCCGTCTAGCGATACGTGAGGCGTTGAGTAGGTTCTCTACGGGTCGTCTCCTCCTCAGTGTGATGCGTGGCTGGGTTTGAAGTGGTACCCATCCAAGATTTAGGGCTCGAGATCCCCGTGTCTCTTGTCTCTCTCCTCCTGCTTTGGTAACCTCTGATGATCTTGGTGAAAGCGTGTTGGATCAAAATATCAATCTCTATCTTAGAAGTGAAATATAGAGTGAAATATAGAGAAACTCTATTTCTTCCTCTATAAATAGAGGAACAAAATATCAATCTCTATCTTAGAAGTGAAAATAGAGATGAGTTGAAGTGATTTTACCTCTAAATGCTATTATAGAGACAAATATAAGGGAGGGTTGGAGATACTCTTAGTTCGAGTCTAAGCTACCTCATTTTTACTTAATTTGTTCTTTAGGTCATTTGTGTTAGTTTATATTAGTGTTTTTTGCTATTACTGTCTTTGTAATTTCTGTCAAACTATAAAAATCTTGATAAAAATTTTGACACTTTATTAAAAAGAAAAGAAAAAAAGCTTTCACCTTTTTTTCTTATTGACGTAATGTTTTGAGTTGGAAGCATACATGCTTTAACAAAAATCAAAAACTAAAATCATTAAAAAGACTGGTTTTATTGAGGGTTACAGAAAGAATTAAGATCAATGAACACACACAGACTTTCATTTGTTCCTTTGTACAAACTTCAACGATTTATTTGATGCTTGCATTTGTGAGGCAGTCTCCTCGTCTACTGTCGCTTTGTGTGTAAGAAACTATAACATATGGAATATGAAGTATCCCCTATATATTAATTGAGAAACATTACAACATGTTTTTGTACCCATGTGTCATCAGAAGAATGCTTTTCAAATTACTAGAGAAAAATGTTGATTCATATAAACATAGAATATACTTTTTATAAAACTATTATTAATGCTAATCATTATTTCCTTAAATAAAATTTACGGAATTACCTAATATAATTATAATATATATATGACAATTAATGATTTGAATATGAAAGATTTGATAAAAGTTTGAATATGATTATATTTTTTATATATGTTATATTTTTTTTTTAAATGACTAGAAATTAATAAAAAAAATAAATCACATATAATATTTTTGATTAAGAGTTTAATTTTTTTTGTTATAGCAAGATACAAAAAAATTATATAATTAATGAGTAAGAGATATATTTAATAGAAATTTAAATTAGATGTGTGTATATATATATATATTAGTGATGTTTAAGTTAAACTAGATACCCTTTAAAAATACATAAAATATTTAATTCCAAAATTGCATTGAACAAGTATTAAGAACTTAATACTTTAATGACAAACTTTGAATTTAATTTTTTTAAACGATGATAAATTACTGTAAATATGAAACCTCTCCCATTAAAATAATGTTATCAATATTTTAAAATTTTTATTATAAAAATATACAAGTGATCATAAAACCATGTAAATGTGAAGCTTCATTTATTATATCCAAAATTAGAATTATAATATATATATATATGAATATATATATATATATATATATATATATATATATGAATATGTCTTTGATTAATTAGATTTAGTTATATAAAGTGATTGTAAATAACAAATACGATTATTTAAGTGCTCGTTAAATTAATTCTATGTATAATAGTTACAGATTATTCAATTATTCAATATATATATTATTTTATAAAATATAGAAGAACACAAAATAAAGAAAAATATATAAAATATTTTTTATATCTAATTTTTATTCCGCGCAAATGCACGGATATTAAGCTAGTCTATATTATTAAAACATTAACAACTTTTTCTAGGTAGATTTTTAAGTTAGACCTACCATTAGATATGATATATTTCTGATCCTATTAATTTTCAATTACCGTTAAGTAATTTATTTCCTTATTCTGTTTTGTTAACTTAATACAAAACAGAATATTTTAAAATTATATTAAAATTTAAACTAACTAAGCGGGAAGTGAAAATAAATTTTGGAGCCTATTTTTTCATATTGGCGTCAGTATTAGGGTATAGTAGACTTACAGTAAAGTCTACTTATATGTAGACGTCTATTTCAGTCTACATTAATTGGTGTTTATCAAAAAAAAAATATTTTAAAATTAAAATAAACTAAGCAGGAAGCGAAAATGAATTTTGGAGTCTATTTTTCCCTATTGGCGCCAATACTTACGGTAAAGGGCTACTTCGATAGTAGACGTCTCTTTTAGTCTACTATAATTGGTGATTACAAAAAAAAAGAATATTTTAAAATTAAATTTATTTATTTATGAATTAAAATGTGAATTAAAATTTTATCAACCAAAAATATATACTAAGTCTACTAAATACAGTAGAACCTCTATAAATTAATACTCGATAAGTTAATAATCTCTATAAATTAATAAATTTTACTGGTTCCAACTTGGGCCGGTGTAAAATATGACACAAATCGATAAAATAATACGATAATAATATTTTCAAAACTGTCATGTAAATATATAGTCTCATTAAAATCATAAATTAATAATATATCTATAAATAATTTTATATAAGTAGAATTTAACATTATATTTTTGGATTTATATTTACAGTAAAAAATACTTTTATTTTTTTAACGTTTCATTATTTTTGATAATATTTAGTAAAATTATATCGAAAATCACGTAACAATTCTATGAAAGATAAAAACATACAATAAATAAGATAATAAAAGTCAAAATTCTAAAATTTAAAAAATGTTCATACGTTAAAATCAAAGATTTTTTATTTTAAAAATAAAAATGGAAAAAATAGAAAAAGCTAAATAAGGAAACTTTTGTAAATTAATATCTCTATAAATTAATAAATTTTCAAAATCCCAACATTATTAATTTATAGAAGTTTTACTGTACCTTATATACATTCCTTTTACCAGTGGACCCATGTTCCTTATATTCAAAAAAAGTATACATTTTCTTGACCAATATCATAACCAACGTGCAATAATATTAAATTTGAGATTTCATAACCACCATACCATATATTAAATAATATTACTCCTTAACCAATCGATTGTATATAATAGCCATACCATATGATTCAAAGTGGACTTCAAGTAAAACTTCTTAGCCCATTACCCTTACCAATAAATTTCATATCTATACTATTATTTAAGAAGTAAATTTGCTTAGTTGTCATGTTCTCTATAAATTTAGGTAATTTTGTTTATTTATCATATTTTTAATATATGTATATAATTTATGGGGGAATTGCCAAAACCAACCCAAATATTCATTTTAACCCTAAAAGTGTAGCCCATATTCAATCAATTGCAAACCCAACCTAAATGGGTGTTAAAACTACTATTTAACCCTTATAAACAAACAAAAAACACAAAATATATTTTACGATTATGTCATTTGTAGGTCTATACTTTAAGAAAGAAGTCTACAACTAGGTAAACTTACATTAACATCTACTGTGTAAACTAATGTAGGCTTATTATTTAGTCTACATCTTAATTTAATCAAATAATTTAATTTTAAAAATGTAAAAAAAAAAATTCTGGTAATTTTCTTAATAAATCATCAATTGAAAGGTTAGTATGAAGTATATAAATTAAATTTTCTTATAATTGAACAATTTAAAAGAATGTATATTGATTTGGGAACTATGTGGTAGACAATGTTAATGGTTTAGCAACCAAAGGTTCTAACATGTTATGTCTTTTAGAGTTAGATTCTTAGGGTTAGATTCTAGATTTAGAATTATTTTGTTTTAATGATTCAAAATTACATATTTAATGTTGAGTAGTTTATACTTTGTATATATGTTAATTGGTACAATGATTAAGATTTTTTTTATAATCAATCAAACGTTTAGGGTTTAAGATTTGGGGTTTAGGGTTTGAGATTTCTTGTTTAGGGTATAGTAGACTTACAGTTAAGTCTACTTATATGTAGACGTCTATTTCAGTCTACGTTAATTTGTGTTTACCAAAATAAATTATATTAAAATTAAAACTAACTAAGCGGGAAGTGAAAATGAATTTTGGAGCCTATTTTTTCATATTGGCGTCAATATTTAGGGTATAGTAGACTTACAGTAAAGCCTACTTATATGTAGACGTCTATTTCAGTCTACATTAATTGGTGTTTATCAAAAAAAAATATTTTAAAATTAAAATAATTTAATAAACTAAGCGGCAAGCGAAAATAAATTTTGGAGCCTACTTTTCCCTATTGGCGCCAATACTTACGGTAAAGCCTACTTCGATAGTAGACGTCTATTTTAGTCTACTATAATTGGTGATTACAAAAAATAATATTTTAAAATAAAATTTATTTATTTATGAATTAAAATGTGAATTAAAATTTTATCAACCAAAAATATATACTAAGTCTACTAAATATATAATGAAAAGAAAATATTTAGATTATATATTATAAACTATTTAAAAAATAAAGAAAAATATTATAGTAGACTTCTTTGAAAGTCTACCTAACCTAAAGTTTTAACCAAAATAATTTTAACCAACGCAAAATTAAACCAGAGAGTTTTAACCTAACCAGAAAAATGACTTGACATATAAATACTCTTTCTTATTAAAAAAAAAAAGGTGACAAAAAAAAAGCTGCCTCTCTCTCTCTCTTCGCCGGACTTGAGGTGGTTTCTGCTTCTTCTGGGTCTAACGAGGATATGACTATTACTGACGTTAGGGAAGGTGAGGAATCGGAGATCAAAGCTCCTCTTCTCGACCCGAGTCCTACTCCAAGCCTAGGAGAATTGCTCTCTTCGTTGAGCCTTCTCCCTTTGCGTAAGTGTCCTTGCATCTTTCTTTTATACAGACAGTGCTGTCTTGTCTGTTTTCTGTTCGACTCTCTGTGAAAATTGGGATATCTTCATACAGATGATCATTTCTTTACTGAGTTGACTTTCCTGTATTAATTAGTATGTAGATTCATACTCGAAGCTGACTTTTCTAGTACTATATTTATGAACTTTTACTAATTGGGAAAATTGTCATTTAAATCCCGAACTTTCAAATTTGGTTGGAAAAAAGCATGAACTTTCTCTTGAACCATTTAAAGCACCAACTTAATTTGAATAGGCATTTTTAACCTCAATTTAGTTTGACTAAACCAAATCAAACACGACGTTAACTCGGGTAACAGATCTATTAGACGGAGTTAATCACCGTCTCTAATTTCCGTTAAGTCGTCTAAACGACGTCGTTTTAAAATTTTAAAAATATAGCAACCAGAGGGAATCGAACTCAAGACCCAAAGGCAAACTCACTCCAAGACAAATCCACTAGACCATTTGCACTTTTTTGTAACTTAAATGAATACTAATAGATTTATTATGAACCATCCAAATCATTTTCCCTCCCTAAATCCCTAAATATTAAAACTTATAAATAACTTAATAATTAAAAAATCGTAAATATTAGTACAATATTAAAACTTATAATAATTATTAAGTTATTTATAAGAAGTATTAAAAATATTAAATAACAATTTTTTAATCATTAAGTATTATTGAATATTCAAATTTTCGTTCTTATACTTAATATTTAATTGTTCAATAATACTTAATGATTAAAAAATTGTTATTTTAATACTTCTTAATTATTGAGTATTATTAAATAATTAATTATTAAGTATAAGAATGAAAATTTGAATATTCAATAATACTTAATGATTAAAAAATTGTTATTTAATATTTTTAATACTTCTTATAAATAAATTAATAATTATTATAAGTTTTAATATTTTTACTAATATTTACGATTTTTTAATTATTAAGTTATTTATAAGTTTTAATATTTAGGGATTTAGGGTGGGAAAATGATTTGGATGGTTCACAATAAATCTATTAGTATTCATTTAAGTTACAAAAAGTGCAAGTGGTCTAGTGGTTTTGTCTTGGAGTGAGTTTGCCTTTGGGTCTCGAGTTCGATTTCCTCCGGTTGCAATAATTTTAAAATTTTAAAACGACGTCGTTTAGACGACTTAACGGAAATTAGAGATGGTGATTAACTCCGTCTAATAAATCTGTTACCCGAGTTAACGTCGTGTTTGATTTGGTTTAGTCAAAACTAAATTGAGGTTTAAAATGGCTATTCAAACTAAGTTGGTGCTTTAAATGGTCCAAGAGAAAGTTCATGCTTTTTTCAACTAAATTTGAAAGTTTGGGATTTAAATGACAATTTTTCCTATGTAATTATTGAAATCTATTGATCATAACATCTCATTCTCGTCTAATTAAAAAAAGTTGATCTTCTCTCCAATTTGCAGATATGTCTCAGGATACAAAAACAGATTCCAGAACTTCATTAGGTATCTACGTGAAATGGGAGACGAGGTTTGTTCCTTTTTAAAAAAAAAAATTAATTCTTCAATCAAAGTATTGTCTCAGTGAACTTAGTAACTCTTTCAGAATCAGAATTACCTGAAAAAGGTTGAAAGCTGCTCTCTTTTTTTTTAATCTGATTAACAATGTTTTCGGTTCATAGGTTATAGTCGTCACGACACATGAAGGTGTTCCCGAAGAGTTTTATGGAGCCAAAGTCATTGGATCAAAAAGGTACCAAACATTTAGATATATAACACTCTAAAACACTCAATGGAATTTGGTAACTTTGCTAATTTCTTGATCTCTCCTGCAGCTTCCCTTTCCCTTACTACCAGAAGGTTCCTCTCTCGCTTGCGCTTAGTCCAAGAATTATCTCTGAAATTGCTCGGTTTAAGCCTGACATCATACACGCTTCATCTCCTGGGATCATGGTAAAAAAATCACATCACTAAAGCAGTAGCGATACAGTGAAGTTGAGAATTCTCAATTGATTTTATAATTTTCAGGTTTTTGGTGCTCTGGCAATAGCAAAGATGCTATCTGTTCCAATAGTCATGTCTTACATAAAGCATCTAAAGAAGTTTGTATCTGCAGTTGAGAAGTCTCCTCATCTTCCAAGTGGAACTGTGCCACAGACAGAGAAGGCAAGGAGCAGTACAGATGTTAGAGAACCTGCAAGGCCAAGTACAGATCAAAGAGAGAAGTCAAGAACTAGCACTGATCAAAGAGAGATGTCTAAGCTGAGTACAGAGAGTAAGGTTAAAGCGAGTGCGAGTTTTGATAAGAGAGAAAGAACGAGAAAAAGTGTTGACGGGTCTGAGAAAACGAGTAACGCTACAGAACAGCAAATACAAACAGAAAAAGGGAGGAAAAGTATTGACAGGTAAGGGTAAAACATTCAACAAAATCTCAAATTTTTATTAACTAATGATCTTGATAATGACTATGATGATGATGGTGACAGGTTTGGGGGGATGATAAGATCAGTAGGATTGTGCAACATAGATTGTTTCAAGCCTACAACAACAGCTAAGTGAATTGGGTAGAAGAGACATGAACATACACATGCATCCAAAAACATGTAATTTTAATTAGTTTGGTCTTTGGTTTGTTCTCTTTGTACACTTACATCCCCTTGTGTTTTGGAATTAAACAAGTCACATGTGAATGATTGATGGATCCACTTGATTCAAATAGCTTGATTTGGTTATTGAATAGAATATGATAAGACCAAATTAGGTAATCTTCATTACATTTGATGTGTATACATAGCTTTCTACAAGCAACACTCATTCTGATTACAAAAACTAGAAGCCAGCAACATTCATGCTTGTTACTTGTGTTCTTTCTTGTAGACTTACAAAGAAGTCTACTTGACAGAGAAAAATATCATAAGTCTATCACATTAGACAACATCCAACAATATAGTTTATAAGTTCAACACACACTAAAGACCTACAAATCCAATAGAAGACAACTCAAAGCAATGAGACACTAATACATAATAGAACATCTATAGCAATAAGACAACTCATAAGTTCGACACATAACACTAACACATCTAGAGTTTTTCACCACCCATTCTCTGTATACAACGAGTAATTGAGCCATCTCCTGCAAAAAAAAAATACGGTTTACATAATTAGCAAACAAAAATTTCATGTTTGATAAAATTATAAAATAGACTTACACGTACGTCTACAATTATTAGCAAACAATATAGTCAAACCAAAAAATTTAACGTAGATTTAAAAGTACGTCTACAAATTTTAAGCTAACAACATAGACAAACCAAAAATGTGTTAACTTCATGATTATAACAGATTATCTTATGAAAATCATTGAAGACCCTTATGATTAACTAACACACACTTTCATAAAAAATTTTTTTGAAAAAACTTAATGAATAATACACAAATCCACTTTTGATAGATTTTTCTAGGTAGACTACATATTCAGTCTACAGACGGGTAGACGTTTTATTCAGTTTACATTTGGTAGACTGCAAATTAGGTCTACGTTTAGGTTGGTTTTTGCAATTGCCAAATTCACGGGTTACTTTCTGTATTTGAAAAAAAGATGTGATTTTATACGAGTAGACTTATTTTTTAGTCTACATTTTTAAAAATGTTAGTTTTGAAATTGATCAGAATTCGTTCAGAGTTTGACTTTTAGAAGTAGACTTACTATGCAATCTACATTTTTGAATTTGTTTGAAAGAGGTTAGTTTTGCAATTGACCAAAGTTGACTTTCTACTAGTAGACAAAACTAAATGTCTACGTAACTGTAGACTGCAGTAAAAGTCTACACTATAACCCGACAGGTTAGTTTTGCAGTTGACCAACATAAAATAGTAGACTTCATATGCAGTCTAGTTTTTTTTCCTAAGATTTGTAGACTGCATATGAAGTCTACACGTAAAGTAAGTTTTAGTCAGTTTCTAAATATTTTAGTCAAATACAAAAGAAACCTATTCAACGAAGTCAAAGTTTTGGTCAAATGCAAAACTGACCTTCCGTAGATTTACCTAGCAGTCTACAAAGTGTAAACTTCCAAGAAAGTCTACTGTGGTAAGTCAAAATTTTGGTCAAATGCAAATCTAACCTCTTTTATGTAGATTTCTTAGTAAGTCTTCCATTTTTTTTGTTTTTGGTTTCAAAGGTAAAGACGTTGACGTATTTGTAGGTCTACATTACAAAAAAAAATATTTTGGTCAATTGCAAAAGTAACATGTGCGTTGACAAGTAGATTGCATCGTAAGTCTACACGTAAGTGTAGACATATAATACAGTCTACTTTCGCGATACAGATCAGAGATATGACGAAGAGCATGTAAATAGTTACCTTGATACCGGTTTAAAGCTTGTTTCCAAGCTTTTCCACCGTCCAGAATCCAAATATGAGCAAAAGAAGCAACCTTTACGATTCACTTGTGAATAAAATCGAAACTATGAAGTTTGTGTTTATGAAAATGAGAGTTATGAGGATTGTTTAGATGAAAAATGAGAGGAAATGAGAGGAAATGAAGTATTGTTTGTTTAGAAAGTGAAATAAGTGGTTGAAAATTCATAAACACAAGCTTAAAGAGCTCATCAATGGTGGTTTTTGGTGGTTGCAAATATTGATGACAATGACATTGTGGTAAATAAGGAGAAATGTTTAGGGTGTAATAAGTTTTTAATAATCTTCGAAAATAATATCATATGTAATAATAATGGTAATTTGGTAAATAGTTAGAAACATGAGGAGAGTTTAGGTTTTTTAAGAGTGAATAGTAATGACAAAAAAAAGAGGTTGGTTTTGTGTTTGACTTGAATTTTTGGGTTGGTTTTTCAAAACCCTCATAATTTATTTATAAATAAAACGAATTTGTATGAATATACCATATTTTTAGAAAAGAAGATAATTCTTGTGAATTATGTTGTTATCTTGAACTATATTTTTATATATAAACTTAATTTTAAATTAAGATATAAATATTATTATACTTATTATAAAACTAAAAAGAATTTATCTTAATAATTTTATATTTTTCTAAAATAAGATAATTTTTATGTTGTTATGTTGAAAATATATTTACTATTATAAAACATAAAATTAAGATATAAAATTATATTAATAATAATTAAATATAAACCATCATCAAAACAATTATTTGAAAAGTGAATTTGTTGATTTGTCAACTTCTCCATGATCCTAGGTAGTTTTGATCATTTATCATATTTTTTTAATTTTATTTATTATTGATTATATAATTTAAAACTAATTTATATTACTAATATTATATTTTAGAAAATAATTTAATTCTTCTGTATTATGTTATTATTTTTAAAATATATTTTTTATTATAAAATTTAATTAACTTGTAAAAAAATCTATATTATTATTTAAGAAGTGGATTTGATGTTTGCTAATTTTTCATATTTTCCATGGTTTTAAATAACTTTGATAATTTATCATAATTTCTATAATTCTATATATAATTTATCATATTATTAATAGTATCAGATTTTTAGAAAATAAGATACTTAATTAAAATACTAATAATATTATAATTTTAGAAAATAAGGTAATTTCTATGTATGTTGTCATATTGAAAAATATATCTTTATATTATATAATTTAAAAGTAAAATTGAAAAACTATCTATTATAAATGAAATATAAATCATCACTCAAGCAAAATTATTTAAGAAGTGAATTTGCTGATTTATTAAGTTTTCCATGATTTAAATTAATTTTAATTATATGTCATCATTTCTATAATCTTATATAATTATTATATAATTAAAATTAATTTATTATATTATATTTTTAGAAAATAAATAACTTATGCGTTATATTGTTATCTTGAAAATATACTTTTCTATTATAAAATTTAAAACTAAGATATAAAAATTATAATTAAATATAAATTATGTAAAAATATTTTTATAAATATTATAATTAAATATAAATCAAGCAAAAAATTGTAGAAATATATTCTTTTAAGTATTTCTGATGTTTAAGTTTTATTATTTATAATTATTTGATGTTTTATTTGTAATTTTTTTAAATATAAGTAATAAATTAATGAAACATCAACTAATAAATATTCATAATAGAATTATGCCCGTAAGTGTGGTCAAAACACCTAGTTAATGAACATACGCTAACATTACTTTTTAGTTTTTTTATCTTGAATACTTTCATTCTATATTGTTTGACATAGTCACACTATTTGTAAGAAATAACCATAGAAAACCACAACTGAAATACTACTAGATTCATCAAATTATTTCTTTTTATATGGTATTATATTTAACTTACAACGGTGACTGCAACAGTATATGAACAATCTCTTATGAATCGTTCAGTTCGAAAATATTAACCAGGTTTCAAAAATAAAAAGTTGGAAAAACTATTTTGACATATAATTCGATCTATTAGTCATTTTTAATTCCTAAAGATCAATAAAAAATACGAAGATTACGATCACCTACCAGATATATTTTAACAAGAATAGATCCTACGTTTAAATATTATCAAGTCAAATCTTTATAAGTATTTTATCTCAAACAAAAATTGTTATCAGATTCTTAATTAATAAATTGTCATTAATCTGAATTTTGTAGAAACATATTAATTAGTAAAATCTATGATATAATGTTACATGAAGTACATAAGATGGTCCGTATTATATACGGTTACGGTTTAGAGGTTCGACCACGAGTTTAAGTTTAAGTTATATCTTGATTTTCCTATAAACCACATATATACCTTCATTAAAAAGAATTAAATCTATCTTATTAAAGTACATTGTGTTAAACTTAATCTTTGTTTTGTAAAATTTTAAACTAAATACACTTTCTTATTTTATAGTTAAACCTATATTAAATCACTAATATTTTTTATACCACTATTTATGTTTTCAAACAATATTCTGCTTTCTTTATACACTATCAATGTTTCCAAATAAAACTATAATTAATTTTGTGTCCATACAATTCAAAATATTAGCTTTCATATTTTTAATAATTTCTAACAATTTTCTATAGATAAATTAAATCATTTAAAAAATTTCAATAATTTCTATTGATCCAAACGGCTGGTTTCGGTGTTTAGTTATTTTTTTAAATATCTAAATCGAATTATTGGATCACTGGATTAACCAGTTAAACTGTAAATTCGAGTCAAATTTTTTTTTTAAAGAAAACTGATTTATATGCAAAAATATTTTAAATACACATCTGTTTCAAATTAACAAAATATTTGCTATTAATGAAATTTTTCATCATGAACTATTTTTGTACTTTGAACAAACATACATAATTAGTGTTTTCACTATATAATTATATTTATGTAATACACTGTTGGACACTATTAATACGAAAAACAGTTTTGATATTATTGTTTAAACATAAAAATGAATTGGACAAATTCAAAACTATATAAAATTAAATAGTATAGAATACATCCGAAAAATAAAATTTGCGTGTGTGCACGGGTTATGATCTAATATTATATTAGTTTTAGAATGTGATGGGTTGGTCTCCTTCAAGCTCTGATATAACAATCAATGAGTCTGCCCTTTCGAGGGAGAGAGCTTCTGACTTTGGAACCGGGTTGATTACCTGCAACAACAACAGAAACGAGTAATTCATGTTGGTTATACAAACTTAAAGGACGAGGTTTAGCATAATGGCTGTTGCAGAGTAATAAAACAGACACCTTTTTACCGCCTTTTATGTAGCCTATAGCGACTTCTCTCCTTAGCCAAGCTCGCTCTGAAAGCTCGGTGAATGAAGGGTTCTCACCCTTTTTCATGTACAGCTCAATGTCCTGCGTCTCTCGAGCAAAATCAAGATTTTCAGACCACAATGCAAAAGATTTGAGAGAAGAAAGTGATTATTTTACGACCTTCACGTATATCTCATCACCTTCTGCGTTTAGAATGTCTTTCCACACCTCGTTTAGTTCGCTGTTTTCAGCAACTGATGACAGTATAAAGAAACGAGTTCTAGTTATTACTGTTGTCTTGATTGCTGTCAAAAAGAAGGAAAAGACGAAATGTAACCTTGTGCTGTTACAAGGCTCATCACTTCCTCTGCTGCTATAAATGTTAGGGACCGCTTGATTCCGGTTATCTACATGGTTTTGCATTTACGTTTCAGTTATTTAACTTGTAGATAAGAGGATTAGAAGAAGAAAAAGAAGAAGTTCCAATACCTGCTTGCCAAGTTTTGAGTCAACGATTTCAGCAGCTAGATTTTGTACCTAGAGACACAACAACATCGATGAATTTCAGTAACTCAATGTAGTAGGCTGTTGAACAAAAGTCTATACAATACCTTAACTCCAAGCTTGTTACAGATGCTTTCGGCAAGGAGAAGAGAGTATGCGGATTGTTTGTCTGCTCGAGATGGATCTACAAGACATCAACTTATTTAGTAGTCTTATCACTATTGCCAAAGATAGAACGTATGGTGAATACTTACCTCCGAGTAGCCAGTCTCGATCCGATATTACAAGGATGGTCAGAGGAACATATTTGCCTTTCCTATATTTACTTTGCAAATGCATTATGGTTTCTTTTAGTGTCTCATAGTTCATAGGATTCCCAACCTATAGAAGATTAAAAAGAAATCAACAATCTAACAGCTTTGAAGCATATCCTTGTGCATGCCATGAAATTTACCCTATGTGAAACTTTGATGTTCTTGATTTTCCTTGAACCAATATTATCACCCACCCTACTTCTTTCCTCTAATGGTACATCCGACAATATCTCCTGTGTGAGAAATATAATTATTAGTAGCTCTTCTCGTGGGAATCAACAGAACAGAGATAATGAATGGTACAAGGGCATACCAATGAACTGCCTGGACCAAGATAATTGTCAAACTCCTCAACCATATGCACAACATCTCCGCGCCAACCAAGTAAAAGTATAGATTCCTTGGGACCTTTGACGGAATCTGACCCCTGTGTAAGCCACAGAAATGAAAAGCCTAAGAATATAGTTCAAGCATTGCGGGTTGGGGGAAGTTCGGAGTCATACCTTTGATAAGGACTTACGAGGCCGCATTATAATCTTCGCTAGACGTGATCGTTTTTTCTCAAACACTTGCTTCCGAGTATCAGGGTCATCCCCTGTAATGTCCTCAGTTTTTATGTCTGTAAGTTGCTTCTTTTTCCAATTGAGAGGTGCAATAAACAATACTTTGTCGGTTTCCAAGAGCTTCTCGTCATCCTTAGGGTGGAAATTTACTTTCCCATCTCGTAAAAGACCACATACCACAACCTGAAAGGAATACATGTAGAGAATGAAACTAGTTACACAGACCAAAAGGTAATCAGACGAAAACACATGCTGACAAGATAGTCAATCCTACCTCTTGGAACCCCAGTCTTAACTGTCTGTACCTTATTCCAGCTAGATTGGGAAAGCTGCTAAGATTAAATACATTTTCTGCAATAAATAGATTTGGTTTTATTAGTTTGAATACAAAGCATGGAACCAAATTTTCAAACAGATAACACTGATATAAGAAGAAAGCCGGCCGTACTTGAGTAATTTAGAAGGTGCCTGTAGATTTTTATAAGGTCCTTCTGACGTGAGCATTGGACAAACAATTTGGACGTAACATTTTCAACCGGCTCCACTTTCAGTCCCGAAATCGACTTGAGAAGATCATACGTACTTGGGCTTGATACCTGCATTGTTTATCCATAAGCAAGGAAAAGCGAGAGGTCAGTACTGTAAAGTACAAACAGAAAACAATTACGGCACACAATCTTAGTTACCTAAGTTACCTCTACAATAGTTGGGATGGATTCCATCTTTGGTATAGGTTGAAGGGCTAATACAGACAGAAAAGCGTCTGTATCAACTTCGTACCTGAAACAAATTTTAACTTAATTGGTTCCTCTTCTTCACAAAGTACTGAGATTCCATATTTTCTGACAGGTGATCAGGTTTCCTCTTCGTTCTCACTGAGAACCAAATTGCATAACCGCAATGAGAAGTAACCGTGAGCTAATTCAAGATAACTCGCAACCCCAAACTATTCAAATACTCCATACACATAACTCTCCTAACTGTATCCTTTAATGTATACCAGCTGCTGAGATAGCATCATACCCATATCAATATGGATTCATAACGGAAAAACTAACTAACACGAACGACCTACCAGTCTACCACACTCCACACTTTTACTACTCAGATATCTATTCCAAACTTCTCAGTTTCCACATCACAAATACTTTGAGAAACTAAAAATTTTGCTTACCGATCACCTTTCGTTGGTAGTATGATAATGGCACGCGCCATACTTGCGGCAGCCCTCTCAAATGATTTCGTCATGTTAAGACTACAACTGCACTGGTAGAAGCACGAAATCAGCACTGTAGCAGGTTTTTGGGCTTGTGTCCGCCTAATCAGAAGAATGTCAACCACCTTACCTCTTTGTAAGGATGTCAATGTGATGAAAATCTCTAGAGTACGCATCAGCTATCTTGTCCATCTGTTTCCTTGGAGCATCAGACATTAGTAGAAGTCTCTGCCTCCTGAAAGCGTGTAACAAGAAAAGTTATCAGCCAAATCAATATAAGAGGGGAAATAAACTGTAGAATATATAGAGAGATATCAAATTACCTAGCTGAGGCGGTACCTAAGCGGACAGCATGTTCATGATAACTGTCCAGTTGCTTTAGTATAAAAGGAAGATGACTGTTTATTCCACAAATTATGATATGATCAGCTTCTAGGACTTGCATCTGAGCCCCTTCTCTCAGTTTTTGCATATTATTCTGCCAAGACAAAGTGATCAGGAACTTGTACCATTTAATGTTCATTCCTCACCAGTAGTGTTTATATCAAGTAACTTACACGAAATTGTTCTGTCATTGTGCTTAAAAGCCGAGAATAAAACAATATTCCCCAAATGGCTAGGACAAATCCAATGACTCTTTCAATGCGTGTCTTTTGCTGCAGTTTTCAGCAACCACAAAAAAAAACAAAATTTAGTTCCAAGAGCTCCATAGAAGGATCAAGAGGCTTGTAAGTTTTAATTGATGTACAATTATATGTTTTGAATCGGTGAAGAAGCAAATCATGACCTTGAGATGAGTAGAAGAGGAAATGAGGCATGCCCAGGCCTCCCAGAAACATTCTTCTAAGGGTTGATTGTCTTTCCTTCACAACAAGAAGGCAATAATAGTAATTAAGTTTATCTTCCATTTATAGGTTCGGAAAAGATCATATAACCACACTAAGACGTGCCACTATATGGATATGTAAGTTGAATAGAGCCAGGTTACCTGAACTGAGAAAATAAGAATCCCCCGATTATAACAAACGATATGCATGCTAACAGGAGCGCCACAAGGAACCTAGAATAGCAAAAGATGTAACAGTTACAAAGAAAAGTAAAATAAAAATTGATATATACATAGCAAACACAGTGACACTAGCAATAATAGTCAGCAGGAATCTGATATTACATCTAAGAAGGTGAAGCCAATTCTCAATCAGGAGATCCCTAACACAAAACCGTTTCCACAATACTTGAAAACGATAGAGTAGTTAATCTACATTATCTGCATGTTTTTATCACTTAATTTTAGAAATAAATTCCAGCTATTCTACCACTTTCCATTTCAACCATCCAAGACCTGTAGTTGCTTCTGTTGTTAGCAACATTTGCACATACAAACACCAAGCATGATTTTTGAGTTATTTCAGAGAGATAATATTGGGTTTAGAACATACGTTCCAATGTTCTTCTCAAGCTGAATATTGAAGAGGTAAAGAAACCTTGCAGTACTCCATTTGATATCATGTAAAGAAGGAATTGACAAGTCCAAGTTGAGAGGTGTAGGCTTATTTAGAGAGTTGGATGCACAAGCAAAAGGCAAGGTGGGCCCCACCGAGTTATGAATGAGACCGGGAAGCTCTTGAAAAATCTTTTGCATCACTCTGAACAACACATACAGTGGTACGCATCCTACCACAGCTTTATACGGAAGAGTCTGCAAGATTATAACATAAAGCATATGGAAAATTCACCACTATATCAAAACAAGAAAGCAAACGCAATTGAAGACATGAGTGACAGCAGTTAAAACAGGTAAGCTTGAAAAAAAAAAAAAAAAAGAGATTAAGACATTTGATATGGCTTAGGTTCACACCGTATGGAAATTGGAACTTAAATCATTCAAGATACTCAGGTTGACATTAGAAGGCTGTCTGTCTCCTGTTCTTTGAGAGTTGACTTTGAAGGCCCCTAGAGAGAATAAAGTCAACTATTGAAAATGAAAGATCTCCCAATTCACATAGATAGACTAATTGATTTGTTGAGAGTCAATCCCACCTGAAGGTAGAGAGTGTAAGCACAATCTCCTGCAAAATTAAAATAAAACCATTTTTTTTTCAGAATGAGCATACACTTTTTCAGTTTTGAATCATTTACGAAATAGCTTAAAGATTAAAAACCCAGATTTCAATCCAAACCTAAAACCAGATTCGGAAACTCCATTAGAAATACAAATTGAGAACTCTAATAGATATTTAAGAAAAAGCATTGAACTCGCTGCATCTAGAGTAAACGCACATGATTCACCCGTAGAAGAAGAAGAGAAAAGAAAAGCCCTAAAACTCAAATGAAACATACTCCAAAGTCTTGGATAGTTAGAAACTGCATATAAACAGGCAATTGGAAAGACACGAGACCTGTTACAAGAAGGGAATCGATTTCGCCTCAAAGCTTGAGAAGTTAGAATCAATGGCTTCCAGCTTAACAACTGAACAGCCACCATTCTTCTTCTTCCTCTTCCTCTTCTCTTTCGATCTCCTTTGTATCTCCGCGCATATATACACACAATGGTTATTTTTATTATTTGCTTTCATTTTCCGAGGGAAATGCGCTTTTATTTTATTTTTATTAATAACTAGATATGGATCGGTAGTTGCATGAATTTTATTTGATATTTTAATATTTATAAATATAAAAATAATAATTCATTTTATAGTTTTATGATTTTTTGCATATATTGTGTGAGATTTATTTTAAAAATTAAGAATTCGTTCTTCATATAAGTTCTAATTAGTATTTATATTTTAATAAGCACATATTTGATGTGATGTTTTAATTTTACAAAGAACATAAAATAATAAACTATTTATATTTTAGCATTATTTTTGTATATGTTATGTGAGATTTATTTCAGAATTTAGAATTTGTTTACCCAACATAAATATTGGTAAATATTTGTATTTTCATAATCATAGCACATAAGTGAATAGTTTTTAACTTTGTACCTAAATCAAGAGAAAATACTCATACCTAAAAATTTAAATCAAATCCAATTTGAATTAACAATTATATTGATATGAAAAAATTGAAAGTTAAATAAGATTAATCAAATCAATGACAATATCATACACTTAATTTGTGATGATAAATCTTAAAATGAATAAATAAAATATTTTATTATATATTGGAATAAGATTGAAAAAGACGATCTTATAAGTAATTAAGAAATTCTTCTAATTTCATTTTAAGTATATGATATTTAATATCACATATATAATTTTAAATTTTAATATAATTTTATGAACTTAGTTTCATCCCTTAAATATTAAACTCTACACACTAAATCATAAATTCAAATGTTATGGGGTTTCTATGTAGTATTAAAAATGGTATTCAAGTTAAAGTATTTTAAACAATTTCTTTAGTTTTTTCCAGTTTCTGAATTTGGAATTTTTCCTATGTGTACTTAATTTATTAATATTTTTAAATTACTTGTTTCTCATTTTTTACTAACAATTAGGCCATTTTATTAAATTTTTCTGTTATTATATAATTTTCTAAATTCATGTTAATGATATATTTTCATAACCACAGTTTAATAAAATAGATTAAAAATACTATATATCAGAACACAAATGTAATGAGATAACGATGAAACATGATTCTTTCTGACTAAGCACTTAAAATTATTTACATTGATAATAATAATAATCTATTTTTTATGACTAAACACAAAATATACCAAACATGTGTTTGTTTTGTAGGACCAAACACATACAAATATCAATATAAAGACCAATCACGACAAAATTCTATTTTTGATTTTTTAGTTAGTTAAATTATTTTAGTATCATGTTTATCATCAAAATCTCTATGTTTTAAATTACTATTAGATAATTTTCTCACTTTTACAATTCGATTTAGCTGCATGAAGAGACTCTGATCAAGTCTATGGAAACATTTAGGATCCCGCTAAAAACATGGTGCATCATAATAGTCAAATCATTACTCAAACATAACTTAGTGACGTGATATTTATCGAAGTCGATCTACGACCACAAAAATAATAAAAGGTCGCACACTCACAGTAAAATGAAATCAAACGAACCACAATTATTCATCCTTTCTTAAAATCGTCAGACAGACACAGAAAAAAAAAAGAATACAATTAGATAGAACTAATCCTCGGCATCGAACTCGCCATCCTCGTAGCGGTCCCTGTTACACCCCTGCTCGCCACCAGATTCATCTCCATCAGGAGGAACCTTAGAGAAGAAATCCTATAGTAAATCTTTAGAAATCAGAGGAAGATCCAACTTCCCAACCAAAAAATCAGACACCGCTGCCATGTCGAGCTTGTCTACTAGTTCGACCTCCTTAGCTCGAAGACGAGATAACTCGTCGGAAGCGAGGAAATTATTTTCATTATCTCCTTAATGAGTTCGGTGTTAGTCATGACCTCCTTCAAACGCATCTCGCAATCCGCTGTAGCCTTCTTATTCTCCCACTTCTCCTGTAAATACACCAGCACATCCAAATAACCGTCGGCTAGGGTCTTCTTAGAATCATAAGTCACATGACAAAGTTAATCCGCATGACTCACAGTCAGAGATTCGATATGCCTCTCCAGCGCAGATTCGATCTGCATCTCTATAGCCGACTTCCTTTCATTCCCGAGGACCCGAAGAAGAGCCTCGATAGAAGCAGTTTGATTCCCCAATTTCTCAGCCGCCGTCAATTGAGCGACACTGATACGCTCCCTGTTCTGGGCTGTCTTTAAACTAAGCTTCAGCTCCCGAGCGACCTTCTTGACCACGTAAAGTTTGTCAGCCCGAGGAATATCTCGCAGACACCTTTCCAAAGTCGCTGCGAACTCGTTATTAGCTTCCATGGCCTAAAGAACACATCGGGAATACACATAATAAGAAAGTAAGAATCAAAAATTAAAAGACCAAACCAACCAACCTTAGCATGAGCGACCGCCATCTTTACATAGGCGTCGCGCTCAGTCATGTTCCGTAACGAAGGAAGAGGATACCCCGCCGGCTTGAAGTGCATAACCAAGTGAGCGACACTGTCGGGATCATCCGAGATCAGACAATCCTTGGCATGGGAAAATTTCCAGTGAAATGGCTTCGCGACCGCACCTTCACTCGCGGGGCAGATCGAGCATCGTTCCCCAAAATCTTTGCCTTCTTTAGAGGATGATCACGCCCTTCCGAGCTATTCAGACTACCAGAACGCAAAAGAGTTGTGGTCTTCGGTTCTTCATTATCTTTGGCCTCAGATCTAGCTGCTATACGAGGAAGTCAAGGCTCCTCACGAAGGACCTCGATGAGCACTTCACTCACAACGCCAGTAGGGATCCGTCTCGCTCTGTTGTTTTGGTTACGAATTCTTTCAGACTCACACAAGAACTTGTTTTCCTCGATGTCATGATTGACGATTGAAAGAGAAGTAACTTTTAGAGATACGAGGATGGAAGGAATAAATTCAAAATTTATAAAAGAGAAGTAAATAGAACAATATCAACTGAAAGGAATAAAATCTCAAAAATTCAAGAAGAGAAAAGGTACCATAAATCTGTAGTTATCGACAAAGCATTCGAGAAGCAAAATAAAAAAAATACGAGATATCCGAATGAAAATGAAAGAAAAAGAGATAAAATCTAAGAATCAGTCCCGTCCTAGGAAGAAGATTCTCCAATCACTGAATCACCTGAAACCTCGGGAACATCCAGGTCCGAGACACTCCAATCCGCAACTGCAGCCAGTTCGACGAGACCTTCACAATCCTTCTCCATCGCCCTAAGACGAGCCAACTCATCATTGATGACCAACCCACCATCCTTGATCTCATTAAGCAGTTCGATGTTCGCGATCACCTCCCTCAGATGGATCTCTACGTTGGTTCCCTTCTTCTTGTCCGACCATTTTTTCTCCACAAGGGACAAGACCTCTTTGTAACGGTCAGCGATCTCGTGACGCATAGCACGATATTCGCGATGGATGTCTCGCCCCCTCTCCGCAAATAATTCTGCAACCATGGTCTTTTGATTGGCAAACTCGGTCTCAAATACCATCCTCTCTCTTCACGAGCCTTCCTCCATTCATCCCTCAAGAACACAACTTCCCCAGTTTTCTTCTGGAGATACTCCTTAACCTTTCGAAGCGATTCCCCGAGACTCTTTGCTTCAGCCCGTGACCTCGCTAACTGTCTCTCACCATGGCCCTCAAACATTGCGATGAACTCGTCGACGGCGACCATAACCTGCAAAGTACCAAAAATATCAGAACGAAATTGATTTACTAAGAACACGACAAAAAAGAACATAACTAACCTCGGAATTGGCATCTGTGATTTTAGTATATGCCTCCCTTTCCTCGAGAGAAGCCGAGGGAAGAACAGAAGAACCTGGAGCTGACGTATCGCGACCTCGAAGTGAAGAAATAACTTGCGACGTCGGAGATGCAATTCGCGACAATCGTTGGCGTTTGCGGTCGTTGGCGGCAGAGTCCTCCTCCGAACCAGGACTCAGAGAGATCGGGGATTCCGTCATTCCAGAAGTCCCCTCGACGTCTGAAACCAGAATGGGAATCCAAAGCGAATCCTTGAGATCTTTGCTCCCCGCGACAGATCTCTGTTTCCTGAACGACGACCTCCTGACCAACTGTCTATCCGATCTGGCAGAAGAAGGAGGATCACTAGAGGGTCCCGTGATATCCTTGAGCTTGATCGAGCTGCTGGTAATAGCCGGCGCTTGATCGATCCCATATGGCAGCAAAAAAGCAGCGCGAACTCGTTCACGGTCGATAGACGATCAGTCCGAGCAATCTCGTCGCAACATCTTTAATAGACCTCGGAGCTCATTCGACATTAGAGATCTCCCGGAATGCACTAAAAACCCATAAAGCGACTTTAAAATTCAGATATCAAAGATAAAAGTAGCATATATGATAAAAGAACCATAGAAGTCAGAAATAACTTATGTCGTCCGACCAAAGGCGAGGAATCCTAGCGAAGTCAAAATCACCCACTGATAAGTGATCGACCTTGAAGACAAAGAATCCTTCCCGCCAATCTCGATCGCGGTATGCAATCCCTTGGATAACATGGCATCCTACGCGCAGTGACATCAGGAAGGTCCCCGAACTCTGAGTGTTCCGCTTCAGCAAGCACAAGTGGCGTAGCTCCTCTGAACCAAATCTTAAACCTTCTTCACGAGCTCTAACCACGAGGGCCAAGAGGTGTCTCAAGAAGTTTGGTACGTCTGGGTGAGAGATATACCCAATTCAACCACGATTCCAAGGATTGGTCCAGGAAATTGGGTTCGATGTTTTATTTTGGCAATGTTCGATGTTTTATTTTGGCAATGTTCGATGTTTCGTTCACGGTCGATAGACGACCAAAACGGTTTTTATCGCAAAACGGTTTTTATCGCAAAACGGCTCGGAAAGTCCTAAATTGCGATAAAAGTCCACTCACGAATTTAAACGAAATCCAGCCCAAAGATGCGACGACGGTTTGACGATTTACTCGCAGAAAGAAGATAAATGTCAAATTTGGAGATAGATGTCAAGTTTGAGGATAAATA